GGGGGGGCATTTTGCACTTTCGTTGCTTCACTAGTTCTGGTTTACAAGTCTCACTCTGGTGAAACCTGTGAACTCTTGTGAAGCTGGAGCAAGCTCGTCAAGCCATCATGGTAAAACCTGTCAACTCGAGAAGAGGCTGTCTAGATGGGTCGACACGTCGATGGGAAGTAGCAAAAGTGCAAAATGCCCCTCCCGTCGCCGAACTGCGCCAAAAGGCATTACCGAGTATGAATTTGTGAGTGATGACGTCTGCATTGGCCCTGTGTCGACTCCACTGTCTTATACATACGTCTCTGCTTCTCATCCGTCTTGACGCTCATAGCATTCAGTCGCCGCATGCGCAACTAACCAACTGGAAACGCCCCTTTTCGTCCTCAGATATGAACTGTGCGTATATTCACTTCGATGGATGTCCCTTCAAAATATTGTGACTTTTAAGGATCCGAACGATTACTTCCCCAAAGCCTGTGCAGCAGAAAATCACATCTCGAGCCTGGACGCAAAGTTCACCAGATCGGATTATGCCTCCTAACAATGGTAAGGAAAGCAATTTGGCACTTCTCAATTATAACAACTTCAAAATCTCGTGAAAAGTTTGCTGGAGTGTTGCGTACAGTGGCTAACCAGTAAGCAGATGACGTAACACATAACTCCAGTTGGGCGCCGCCGCCATTCTCACAAATTTTTTCGTAAACTTGCATACCGCGGTTATTCTTGCACTTGCATACCACTCCCCTGAAGCTAAGTCTGGGATTAGGAGTAATCTCCTTCTCCAGGCTCAGCCTTAGCGGGAAGCCGTCGACAGGAGAGGCGCCTACTGGGACTTGGTCGGACCGGCGCCTAAACAACAGTCGCATCCGTAATCACGGCACTGACCGGGGAAGTCCGTCAACTTCCCATGGAACTTTGGCTTCCCGCTTACCATGGAGCTTCGAATGGAGTCCTGGGTACATTGGTAGAGTCTATAAGGTTATTTTTTTAGCAAAAATATAGATAGCAAAACTGCAACCTGCATTTCACAAGCAACTTATGAGCAGGTAAAGTTTGTAATGGTGCAGTAGGGTGGAGGCTTGGTGGTGAGCTGTGAAGCATAAGCGAGGAATCGCATACGTCGAATCGAGTCGTGGTGGTTCAGTGTAAGGTTCGACGTTCGGAACGACCGCGATAGAGCGTATGCGATTCCTCGCTTATGCTTCACAGCTCACCACCAAGCCTCCACCCTACTGCACCATTACAAACTTTACCTGCTCATAAGTTGCTTGTGAAATGCAGGTTGCAGTTTTGCTATCTATATTTGTAAATAACCTTATAGACTCTATCGATCTACCCAGGTCTCCATTCAAAGTTCCATGGTACTTTGGCGCACTTCCCTGGTGAGTAACCCCTACACAGAGTTCGGAGAGTTTCAGCTAAGATGCCTGAGATTTTGAGGTAGTAATAGTTGGATGGTGCCAGCTACCTCATTGTCCGCTTGTTACTCAACTAAGGTAACTTACCTTCAGATGGAATCGGAGTGATCGAAATGCAGCGTTTGTTGAATAAATTCCAAAGGGCTAGGAGTGAACGCCAACTCGAAGGCGAAAGAATTCTTTGACAGGCTCTCGAACTGGCCGTCAAATCTCCCACCGCAGCTCCGAAAGGTTTGATAAGAAATTATTGAGGGTGTGAAGTTCAGAATGTTGTTAACAGTGGTTGTTTTGTTTTTAGCGAGCTTTTGTCCATGCTGTGGTTGGCGTTCGACTTTCGGGGTTATCATCCGCTCCCGAAGTTCCACCTGTCAACAGCTATAAGGGCTCCGAGCAAACCTAACGTTGTCAACATTTCTGTGAGAAGTGACACGTCTGTACTTTGCGTTAAACCAAGTACGTGACTGTTTGACTTTTGATGTAGTGTAGTAGTAGTACCTGGAGGCTCACTAATCGTAAGTAGCGCGTGATGACTAGGGTCGAGCGGTTTTTTTCTATATGCGAAGTGGGCGGATTCGTCACCGTAGAATAATACTTTCGTCAGTAGAAAATGCGTGAAAATGATGGAAGGTTGTGATACGGCTGGATGATCCTTGTCTCGGCCGTCACTCTATCCGCGACGAGGATACCACAGGCTACGCACAAACGCCACACGGCCCACACCACAAGCCTGACCATGGCTACATGTGCTACTTGTCTACCTCCTCTCACATATGGCTATGGAACCATTGTTCACTTCTTTTTGGCAGCGCAGCAAGTGTTCGCCGAAAAACCTTGTTCTTCCCGGTCTAAAAAACGAAGGTGTTGACAAATGTGTTCACATACGTTGTGCGCAATTTGCATATCGAATAGCGGACAGAGGTAAAAGAAGATTAGGTTATCACAACTCTTCAGCTTCATTTTAGATACTCCTTAAGAAGAACATAAAGTAATATCCGCCGGCTGCGGATTCCCCCGCTTCACACATGGAATAGATCCGTCTCGTGCGTGCAGCCTTGTTCACTGTGCATGAAGGGGGCGTGTCTGTTAGGCAGGGTTTTTGGCGCATCGCCAGCCCGTTCTCCACCAGTTGTTGAAGCGGGTAAGTCACAACAACTGGTGGAAGCGACTGAAACGAACGATATGATACAAAATTGTTGTTTGCCGAAAGAGAAAAAAATGAGATAAATGGGCTGGCACCGTGCGTAACCCATCACCGTTGACACGCCCCATCATCTTCAGGAAACGGGACTAAATTCTTGCAGTGAGAGCTCAAGGTGTGTTCCTTCAAATGCTTGTTTAGACAATCACGACAACATCACCCCACTCCCATCATTACGGCCATCGACAAAGCAATCATTTGCTCCTCCCCCTGGAATGTTCCCGTCAACAACTCAATCAGAACAGCCAAGAAAAAGTCTTTCTGCTAAATATATCGAAGAGAAATCTAATAGCATGAGCCAGATGGTCCGGGAAAAACCTCAAGCCGATAAAACTGAGGAACAATCACCAGTAAGTATTAGCGTTGACTCTCCCATTGTGCTGCTCCAACTGGACGGCCCATAGGGTTGCAGTATTGATTGATAGACTTGCTAGCACTTTTGTAATGAATTCAGGCACCATATCATTATGAAGCGATCTCGAAAACCACTTCACCAGCATTAGTTTCTACTGGACTTGACACTCAGGCCACGAAACTTCTGTTTCCCGAAGTTTGTTTTGTTCTTTTTTTTTCTTCCCGATGAGACTATCAGCTCCATAAATGTCGTTTTTCAGGACTCTGAAAGCACGTCAAATGACACTTGCAATGGCGTGTTTTTGCAGAATGGAAATCTTGATCCAATTTACCTTGGGGAAGAAGTGCGTTGTTTTATGGAAATTTCCTACAAAATTTTTCTGACTAGTGACTAAAGTTTGCGGCGCTATATATATAGGCTTTGGGAGGGGCAAATCTTCATTGATGCTTAACCACAATATGTTCTAACGTGAGTGCCGGGTTGCAGAAGGAAAGAGCATGATGTGCAGGGCACACTGCACGAGTAGGATCCCCTGTGATGGGGTCGTATTCGCCTCTGAGGAAAATGCTTTCAAGCTGTGAAAATTTGGAAGGATGGTAGATATAATGGGGCTAGGGGGTCTTACAGAGGAGGAACGCAGGGCCCTGATCCTCGTAGACCTCGAAAAGGAGGACTTCTTGAGAAGTGGCAGAAAAACGTTGGTTTGTTGACACCATGCAGTCTTTTGCCATTAGAAGAGGACTACTAGTGCTACTACTATGAAATAAAAGAGTGGTGCAGGAGGTCACGTCATGATTGGTGTTGACCAGGCCCTGTCAGACCATGTCACGCTGTCTCAGCGAGAGGGTGCAGATAGATGGATGTGACGTGGTTGAGTCTGGCTGGATGTGGTCCCGCATAGTGCGTACTCTTTTTTTACCCTTTACAAAACCATAATACGAGAAATATTCGCTGAAATTTCATCGTTGCCCTAGTCACGGAAATGACATGCTTTCTGACGTCGGCTCCGATTTGGTCCGAAGACGTGACAGCTCTATCAGCAATATTTTTTATATTGCAACTCTTCCAACTAATGTTGTTTGAAAATCACACTCTTGTTCGCCGTGGCTGAAGGGGCGGGTCAGGGAGGCCGGGTTTGACGCGCCGCCAGTCCTCTTCCAACTAGTTGTCAAAGCGTGCAAGCATAATAACAGGTGCAAAACAACTATTCAAATTATATGGTACTAGTCTTGTGTCTGCCGAAAGAAAAGAAACGGGCTGATGTGTCAAACCCACCCTCTCCTACCCCCCCCTTAACCCTCCCTCCCCTCCATCAGCAGCGAACAAGTCTGTGTGTATAGGGATTATTCTATGTCCCAAATATGGCACTTATTTTCGATTGCGAAGCTAATTTGGCATCGGTGTGAGTGAGAACGAATGAAAGTCTTTTC